GGAGTAGGTGATCCTGTAAATAGCTTGGAGCTAAGCAAGGAAAGGTTTTATATATACATTTCTTAAATTAAGTCCAGCAGCTATCAATTAGTGAAACTGTTTCATTATTGTTTCAATCTCTAAAAGCATTATCAGTTACAAATGTTGCCTCTTTCTGAACAATGTTTGGACTATCTTCAAGAGCTGATCCACACAGCATATTATAATAATGAAATTATAAAGTCATCAAGCCAAGTATTTTGTCTCTAAGTAGGGATGTCCATGATTCATTACCAAAATCACCCAATTTTGCTCCAGATATTTTGGGGCTAAACACTACACTGTACAATGTTGAATCTAAAAATTAATATAGACTGCAAATCTGTCTGTTAAAGCAGGCTGCAGATCTTCCAAATCCTGAAGTCCATTTCTTGGACTGAAACAATTCTATTTTGTTGCCACTGATAGTTAGCTTATTCCTCCATATCCACCCTTTATAATTTGGAGACATTCAGAGGCTCTAGAATTGTCCAAACTCACCAGAAAGGGGAAATATGGCTAAGTAACATAAGGTTATTAATGGCAAAGTGAGTGAAGCAATATAACTTTCCCACAGCATATTAAGAAGTAGGCTGTAAAACAGTGACTCTACTATAGCTCCCTTAAGTGCTCCTGAAAGTTATCATGTCAAATGGTATCAAACCTACCAAGAGATTCAGAAGTGCCAATAAGATTGCACTACCCATTTCTCTTTCCTCGTTCATTAGAGAAACCAAGCTGTCTTCAATATTACAGGAAACTTTCTTTGCAATATGGAACTATTAGCAGTCTGGAAATAATTATTCTAGACACTTCACTAAAGTTCTAATAGCTTTATTGTTGTTTCCTCGATGTGGCATTTGCTAAAACACAAATGTTTACAGTTTGGATTTTCCCTAAAATTACATTTCGATAAGAAATCTATTAAAAAGTTGGTATACTTGTACAACCATTGCTACAAATACAGTGGTACATTTTATTTTGGAGTCTATCTTTAGAATCTAACAAGTAAGAATTTTCTATATTTGTTAATTGTTAAATCTAACCAATAACTACATATAGAATATAAAGTGTTATGGATCTTGATTCATGAGGGGTTGCCAAGAAAGTTATCCAGCTTTGGAAAGATTCATATTCAACAAAGCAGTAAAAAAATGGTCAAATGTTTTTGAACAATTGATAAGTTGCCAAGTTTGCTTTTTCCCCCACTATTTTCTTTTATCTATTCTCTTTCAAATGTGCATCTGCTTCTGATACCTCATTCTCAACCCTGATGTTCTAAAGAAAAAAAAATGATTGTAGATGGTCAATTTCAGAAGGATCATTGATGTTTTAGGAAATTATGCTCCAAATATCAAAATGTTTACTATTGTTTTTAGAAGGAACTATAACATCAAATATATAGAATTATATGATTGTGATTAATTCTGACTGAGTTTAATAAAGTATATGTGAAATAGTTAGCATTTAAAAAGGCTTGTAAAATGAGCAATACAATTACATAGGACATAACCAGAAATGTGCCCAGCTGGGTTTGGGTTCTGGTACCAACCAAGGATACAGAGCAGGAGAGTCGGAATGGCAGTTGTCATTCAGGAATCTATTGGCCTTCAGGGGTTATGCTCCCCAAACTGTTTCTGAGATTGAGTTTGTAGGATCAGTTGGGAGTGTTGCTGCTTTTCTAGCTAGGGGCCATCTCAGGACTGAGAGTAGAGTTCACCAGGCTTATGGTCCTGGGAGACTTCAATTTGCCATCTCTGGATTTGGCCTTGGAAGTGGCTCAGGAGTTCATGGCCATCATGACAGCCATGGGCATATCCCAAGGTATCCCAGGCCCAACTCAAAATAGTAGTCACACTCCAGATATGATCTTCCTGTTGGAGTAGTGCTGGTGGATCTTCCATATCCCTCTGTCACGGTGAGACCACTCCCTGCTGGCCTGGAGATTTTCTTCCACTGCCACCCTTCATGGGGAGGCCAGGTTTATTCACATGATCCACCTTTGGTGACTGACCTGCTTGGGTTCCAAAGTAGCTGGGGGAGATGATGGGGACACTGCTGCATGCTCCTTCTGAGGTTCTGACTGCAACTTGGAGGCTCTTCTTCAGTGAAGAATCTATAATTAAAATACTGATCATAGTATCTTTGTAGGTTTGAACATTTTGAGAAAATATGATACCTAGACATTTTAGGGTTTAGGACTCTGGAAATTAATTGAGGATAATTAATTGCTAAATTAATTAGTTTTAAGATCAGGTTTTAAAAAACAGTAATTGGATTGTTTTGTTTAATTTAAATCCACAATTTTTAACATGTGAATTGATTATAATATATATTATATTTTTATATATATATATATATAATATTTTAGAGAAAGGCAACTGTTAGAGTTTGTGTTTTTAAATAATTAGCTTTTTCCCATTTGGAGAGAGACTCAGTTCTAGAATCAGAATACCAATTAATGTCTCAGGTTTCTCTAAATACAGCAGAGTCATATATACTGTACGTCTGATAGCTTGATCTTATAAGTCAAAGGTTGGTCATCTTTTCGGACACTAAAGCAAAGAATAAAGTAAAACAAAATTTAAAATTTAATCAGCCTAACATCAATACCCGGGAAGATACTGGAAAAGATAATAAAAAAACAGATCTGCCAACATCTAGAAACAAGTAAAGTAATAGCTAGCAGTCATCACGGGTTTGTTAAAAACAGATCATGCCAAACCAATCTTATTTTATTCTTCAACACAGTGACTAAATTAGTAGACCAGCAAAATACTGTGGACATAATATATTTAGATTTCAGCAAGGCATTCGATAAAGTAGACCACAACCTACTTCTTAGTAAGCTAGAAAAAAGTGGAATAGATAGCACCACCACTAGATGGATTCGCAACTGTCTGGCAAACCGTACTCAACAAGTAGTCCTTAATGGGTCTAAGTCTACATGGAGGGAAGTAAGCAGTGGGGTGCCACAAGGTTCTGTCTTAGGCCCAGTACTCTTCAATATCTTCATTAACGACTTAGATGAGGGAATAGAAGGGGAACTTACCAAATTTGCAGATGATACTAAGCTGGCAGGAATAGCTAACACCCAAGAAGATAGGGTCAAGATCCAGAGGGATCTTGACAGACTAGAACACTGGGCCATATCTAATAAAATGAAATTCAATATAGAGAAAAGTAAAGTCCTACACTCAGGCAAGAAAAACTAAAAGTACACATATAGACTGGGTGAAACCAGGCTCAGCACTAACTGTGAGAGGGATCTTGGAGTCTTAGTGGACAACCAGCTAAATATGAGCTAGCAGTGTGCAGCAGCCGCCAAAAAAGCTAATGCAATCCTAAGTTGTATTAACAGAGGGATACAGTCAAGATCAAGGGAAGTACTAATACCACTCTATAAAGCCTCAGTAAGACCACACCTAGAGTACTGCATCCAGTTTTGGTCACCACATTATAAAAAAGATGTTGAGACTCTAGAAAAAGTACAGAGAAGAGCAACCAGGATGATTAGGGGACTGGAGGCTAAAACATACAATGAACGGTTGCAGGAACTGGGCTTGGCTAGTCTAGCAAAGAGAAGAACCAGGGGAGACATGATAGCGGTCTTCCAATATTTGAGGGGCTGCCACAGGGAGGAAGGAGTCAAGCTATTTTCTAAAGCTCCTATAGGCCAGACAAGGAATAATGGATGGAAACTGAACAAGGAGAGATTTAACCTGGAAACAAGGAGAAACCTTCTGACAGTGAGAACAATCAACCAATGGAACAGCTTGCCCTCAGAAGTTGTGGGAGCGCCATCAGTTGAGACTTTCAAGAAGAGATTGGACTGCCATTTGTCAGAAATGGCGTAGGGTCTCCCGCTTGGGCGGGGGGGTTGGACTAGATGACCTACAAGGTCCCTTCCAACTCTGATTATCTGTATTATCTGTAATAGTCAACATTTCATTAGATATAAACATTTTTGCAAATATTTACAGGACTGCCTGTCTCCAATTTTTTTTCTTATTCCATGAAATTTGAAAGGGATGGGCATGGTCTCCATCACTCAAACACGGGTGTCAAACTGGATTTCATTGAGGGCTGCATCAGGGTTGTGTTTGACCTTGGAGAGCCGGGGGGGCACGGTTGGGGGTGGGGGTGACCATGATCGGTGTGTTCAGCTTGATATCATTTGTGTTGAGGGCACCTGTGGTTGCCAAGTGCTAAGCCAGGACTTCCCTGAGACCCTCCCTCACTCTTATAATCTCCTTCCTTCCTTCCTTTTCTTCTTTTTCCTTCCATCTTCATTCGCCAGTTTTCTTCTTTCCCCTCTTTTCTTATTTTTCCTTCCTTGCTCTCTTCCCATCTTTCCTTCTTTTTCTTTGTCTTTCCTCTTTCAATTTCTCCTTTTCTGTCCCTTGCATGCTCAAATGCAAAAGAAGAAACATTTCTTCTTTTGTTTTTAGTTTGTTTTGATAGCCCTCGGCCAGCGAAAGGAGCTTGGGGGGGCCACTCATGCCCTGTTTTCAGCCATGATGGTCTCTTGCAGCCCTCTACCAGAAAAAATGGAGGTTGGGGGGCCACATGTCGTCCCCCTGAGCTCCGTTTTTGCTGGCAGAGGCACCGCGGGCCAGTCATTTGCTGTTTCCAGACCGGCCCCATGGGTCAGATCGAAGCACTTGAGTTTGACACCCCTGCTCAAGCAGTATCGTTCAGCAGGCCTTTTCTATCTTAATATCAGGCCCATGGAACAGCATCAACATTGCAACTTCCAATTCTTCTGGATTTCTTCCTGAGAGATGTTGGGAGTCCTGTTGGGTTTTACAAATATGGTTTTTTTTAATTAGAAAATATTTTTCTTCATTTATGAAAGCATTCTGCTTTTTAGATATAGATATCCTTGTGTACCAGCCTAGGAGTAAAACAGACTGAAAATAGAGTTATTTTTTTAAAAAGTGAAACAACTCAAATTTAGTTTTGTCTTTTTGTTTTCATAGGGAACATTATATAATAGAAATAAAGCTTCCAGAAAAGATGTTTGAGTTGCTTCCTCAAGAGATTAAAGATGGAAAATTGCTCTATGTCTATCCAGTCCTCTTTAATGTTGGAATCAATGAACAACAAACACTTGCAGAAAGGTAAATCATCAGGGTTATGTGTTGTTTTATATATGGATAGAAAAAATACCTATAGTGTTTAACATCCCATGAGATAATTAAATAATTGGTTATGATAACTTACCTAGAGAAGATACAGTAAAGTAAGGAGAAATGATAAGTTCATTCTGTTCATATCTATATAAACTGTACCTGATTAGTAGGAAAATCTATGGGCATAGATTCTCCTACTAATCAGGTACAGTTTATATAGATATGGAACATGCTGGTTTTTACAGGAACTATACAGTTTGAAGCTCAAAAAATGCACAGAAATATATGTGTATTTTGAGTATACTGTATATATACCGAAATATGCACATTAAAAATACATAACATTTTATATATTAGGAAATAAAGATTGGAAAATAGCTACGAAATGTGCAGATTGGGGTTTTTCTATTCATAAACTGACATTAAAATAGCGACACAAATACACAATTGGAAATATATAACTATAATAAAGCAAACTAAGTATTTAACCATGTCTACCAAGAAGCCACTGGCTAGATAGTTGGGCAGGCACTATTTCATTTTTCAGAACAACCCATCCCATGAAAGATATATGCTTGTTGTCAGGAACTTTGGTGCATGTTTATGACTGGAGTAGTCAGTGTCATTTGAGAGAGAGAAAAGGACCATCTCCTTAATATTCTATCTGAACAGCGCCTCTGGGCCTAATAGTCTCACCAACTGGTTAGTCAGTTACAGTGTATCTGAACAAATTTTACCATTTTTAGGTCCAAATAAATGTTGACATCTTCAGCTAAATATAGAGAGCTTGTAGGCCAATCCAATTAACTTCTTCTATATAGGTACAACTTACCACTCCATGATTAGGGTTGAAACAAATATTTCATCATCAAAAATTTAACCCAAAATACTATAAACTCCTAAGATACAGGTACACCAAAAATCAAACAATTTTTAAAAATCAAGTTATTCATGGAGAGGGAGAGTTGTAATAGCCATTCCCCCAAAACTTGGTAACATAGCCAAGGCTTAGCAATTTTCTAAAGATGCACAGTGATTTGATGAGAAGCTATTCCAAAGAAGGACAGACAAAAAAGCATGATTCTAAGCTCTTGATTGAGTGAACAAATAAAAATTGTACATATTATTGTATCGAAAATAGTGAACATTTGAAGAAATAACCATTAACAATGTCTATTTAATAGACCTGTGATGGAAAAGTTGATCCAATTAGAATGATTTTTAGCTACTTAGATATTTACTAAGTGCATGTATTATGAAAAAAATTAATACTTCTGAAATAATATTTGTTCATCTTCAGCTTAATTCAGTATTTTAAATGCTTTTAACGAATCAAGGTGCATAATAGAAGATAATAGAATAACCTAGGATATTGTTGCAATGTGCTAAGAAAAAAAAATCTATCCTATGTAAAAATAAATGTCAAAATTGCCAATCTTATATAGTAATAGCTAAATAAAGATTTTCAATGCAGAATAAAGCTGAATAAAGTTAGGGTTAGAATGCATTTTTGAGGCAAGGAATTAAATCAGGGTAAAACAAAACAAAACAAAGCATAGTTTGTGTATGACTTTGTGTATGATTGGTATAACATCCAACAAATGGCTTTTATAGGATGTGGTCATATCATCTAACTTTCTACTCTGTGCTGTTCCAAAGAATTTAAAGCCAAAGTGTTCCTCAGCCGAGTCAGCATTGGGATTTAGCTGCTACAAATTGAATGATTTTTCTATGATTTGAGGCTTCCATAGACAATTACTTCGAATAGCACCTAGAACTGCATGCTGACCCCCCTCACTTCCAACCTTAATTAGGAAGAAGATGGCTTAGGAATAGACAGAATTTGCAATAAATAAATAATATCAGGGAAAACTTCATTTTCAATTAGAGCCTTATTGACTAAAAAATTCCCAATATTTCAAGAGAATATATTTCTATATAAAGTCTCTGTAATACATACATAAGAATGTGTCCTCATTTCACAGTATTGAGATTTTTTTAAATTAAACATAGTAAGGTTGTTAATGTGCTTAACAACTATAACTGTCTGGTTTATTTTCTTGTTTAGTCACCTAATAGAATATTTGTTTCTGCTATTGGGTAGGAAAAATAATGATACAGTCAGGCCAATTCTCCCTTGGTTTGAGAAAGACAATCTGACATTACATGTACTTCAAGTCAACAGCAATCAAGAGTAGGTGAAGGGCTTTTTCAATGTCGCTTCATTTGATAGATCATTGACCAAAAACACTCTATAAAATAGTATAGCTAATATTTGTAATGGCTAGAGTCTGGAATTTGGAGTCTGGATTTGAATAAAACTGGCAGAAGTACTGCAAATTGGAGCTTTATTTCCATTAGTATTTCCACAGACATAACCCATGTTATAGAGCCTTTTTATTTTGTTAAGATCTTTAAATTGTGAGCGCAATTTTATATCATGATTGGTTATTAAGATATGATCTACACACATACTACAGACCATTTCTTTAGAATGCTATAAATAATTAACCCATATTAGTAAACATAAAGCTGAGATTGTTCAGTTTCTCTGAATGAATCATGTTTACATGTTCATTACTGCATTTATGCTATTTTTGTTCTTATTTTTTCAATATATGTTTTGTGATTCTTTAGGTTTGGAGATACCTCCTTGCAAGAAAGCCTTAACCAGGAAAATTTGGAATTGCTAAAAGAATATTATAAGTTATTAATGGAAAAAATACCTCCCGATTGTAAGCATTTTAATAGAACTTCATTATGTTGAATTTGTTACATTTGTCACATATATCAACAAGGTAATATCGTTCCTACAGAGTCATTTTTTATAAACTTGAGTTTCTTTATTATTTTATTGCAAACACTGCCCTTTTTATCTTCCAAATCTTTTTCAGTTGAAATAGAATTTCCCATCAGTATTGGTGGAACTGACTGAAGGCTTACGTGGAATACTAGTGAAATAATATCTTCATAGGTTTTAATTGTGAATAATTTCCTATTTCCTATTTGTTTAGATTTTTACCAGCAAAATATAACAAAGACAATAAAATATTAATCACACAATTATCAAGTTATATAACTTCCATAGTGGCTCAACAATCCCATTGAAAAACATGTGAGAGTTAAGGTGTGTTAACAGGACATGACAAAATTCTTTGTAGCACCAGTGGGCGCACTGTTGGCATTTTCTTAACTCAAGTTAAATGATAGAATGATTATTCAGACATTATGTACAAAGAGCAGGTCTATGAATCTTCTTAACTCAAGTGTTTATTTTTGGGGATTGTGTAATTACTGTTAACCCAAGGAAAAGACACAGATGTGGCAGGTGGTGTGTAACCATTGTCCCATGTCAGACTCTGGATGACTTGGGATAGGACTATGTTATCATGGTGACCATACTCCCAAAGGAGGTAGATTGAATTCCCCTAAAATTATAAGTCTAGAACAGAGACCCCAACCTTTTGGGCACCAGGGACCGGTTCCGTGGAGAGAGGTTGTTCACAGACTGGGGAGGACATTGTTTCGCGTGTTGTCTGCATCCCACAGATGGGGCTTTGCTTGTTTGTGTGGCGTAGTTTCTGGCATACCGTGGTTCAGTGCCGATCCATGGACCGGAGTTTGGGGACCCCTGGTCTAGAGAACTCTGCTCCTAACCCAGAATGGATTCAGTGAGCTTAGACTGGGAAGTTGCTATGCAGCAAAGAAGTTAGTACAATAGCAACAATCCCAACTGATCTCTAGAGCCCAACTTAATGAACATATCTCATATATGACAGCCTGTGTTGCCCCGTTCCTGAGATTATAGGAGGTTCCTAGATGACAGTCGGCAACTTACGCTCCTGCTCCAGAGTCTGAACTGATGCCACACCTAAAATCTATATGACGAGACCTTCAAAAGGCCCCACCTAGGTCTGGGTAATTCAGACCAGGTCAGCCCTCTCATCAACAAATAAATCACAAATGATTACATTTACAAGCAGCAGTTGAAAGCCAGAATATCTTCAGGAGTACAGGAAGGAAGACAAAATGTCCTCCATGGTGTCTATTGTCATTCCTCTCCCTCCCTGCCTAGCCAATGCCTCTAGAGTTCTGAAGTCCTGGATGGTCGCTTGGATGGAAAGCTGCCAAGGCAAGCTCCAAGCAGCAGTCACTAGGTTGCACATGTAGTAGCAAGCAGAGGCCCTCTATCCTCAGCATGTGGCAGGAATCTCCCAAAATCTAAACAGCTGAAGTCCTCTGTTGCTGCCAGTTGCCTGACCAATCCCAACATAGTACCTCTAACACAGCCACCCAACAAACCACCTCCAAAGAAGAGGGTTTGTTGAGATGGTGTAATATGTATTGAAAGTTTCAATTCATTCTACAATGTTCATCTGCACTTCATTCTATGATATTCTGGTGACTGGCTTCTATCCCCCTTTTGTTATATGTTTCTTCTTTCATTTCCTATACATGTCCCTTTCTCTTCAGCATTTTAGAATCTCTGTCTATATCCACACTGATACCTGGAGATGACTTTATTTTCTTTGTAATATAAATTGTTGCTGTTGCAGTGTCAGCATCATGTTTTACAGAAATTTCCATCCTTCCCAGACATATTTCTCCTTCAGAATTGCAATCTACAGTATTTGACTTACCTTCTATCTTGGTTCATTGAAATCTGTTTCTTTGAAAGTTAGTATACAGGTTTGACTTCTCTCTATTCTTCCTCCTTTTGAGCACTTGAACATGATCTCAAGGATAATATGATCCATTTCTCCCAAAATTTCAGTTACTTTTACTTCTTCAACCTACAGTTTCTTCTTGGCATTTGTGTAGAAATTCCTTAGATTGTAAGTACTAACTCTACTAGCTTTCCATTGTGGTTTTCTACCAGTCTCTAAGTCATTTTTTTTCTTTCATGCTTGTCTTTTGTATTGTTCAACACAGTTTTTGGCATTATGTTCAGTTCTGAGCGTTTGACATCTATCCTTCTCTAGCCAACATTCTTCCAGATAAATCCTTCCCAGGGTTTGTGAAATTAAGCTACCTTTTGCCAGGGTTTCTTCATTTAGATATGGCTGAAGAACATAAATCCAGAAAAGGCTGTCAATTACAAGATCTTGTTCTTTTTTCTCATGTCATGACCCTCTATTAGAAGGATTAACAGAAGCACCTTACTGCCTAGGCTTCATAATTTATGAAGATCTGTTCGAGGTCTCTGTTGGCCATCATCACATGAATTATTAGGAAGAAATAGTTATTGTTGAATAAGGAAATCCAGCAACTTGTCTGTCATAATCAGGATATAGGACCTGGAAGATATAGGACATCATATTAATCTGCATAGTCTTAATGCAGTTTCAGTTCATTTCACATAGAATCCCCCATCATCGCAACACATTTCTCTTTTCTCAAAATTGTTTTTCTTCAACTTCATGGTTGAAGTGTCTTCCACCTTGTTCTGATAAACTAGATTGATGAGACTTATTCAGCTAGGTAGGGAATGTCCTCAAGAGCAAGAAGCTGATACCAGGCTCCGAGCTCCATCACCGAAAACTACCTATTTCTCTTGTTTTACTGGGTGACATGCTTCCCTTACTTTCCTCCAGTAGCTACTCCAGCTTTCATGTCCTCTGCTTCTCTTATTTTTCAAGGAATTTTCACCTTCCCTGGTATATGCAAGTATAGAACCTGTCTCTTCATGTTATTTTGCCTTCTATTCTGGTAGAAACAGGAATGTTGGTTTAGATTCTCTTCGAATACTGCATGAACATCACTACTAGGGCTCCTTCCTTCTTCCTTCTGTTCAGGGGTAATTGGAATGGATGCCCACATTCCTTCTACCAAACTCACATGTTAAGTTCCCCTGATTGCTCTCCCTATTGGCATATTCAGTGAAGTTTTTTGATTGTAACCAATGTTACTTTTTTTTTGCTTTGTCCCCTTACCACTTTGTTTCAGTGCTGAATATCTCATGAGAGTACATTTTATTCATAAGAACTGTGGCTTGTAAGTGAAGAATTAAAAGTCCTATCCACATTCTGTGTTGAAAATTGGAGTGGAATCGCATCTAATATAAAAATGTTAAAACTTATTGTACAAGAACATCAAATGTAATTTGATGTAGGTATTCTATGTATTAAACCATTTCCATGTTAATATGCAGCTCCTTGACCCAAAACTTCTTTTTCTTCTCTTTCTGCTATGCATTTTGTTTTATCAAATGCTACAAATAGAGGAAAATCTAATTTCCTATTTTTTGTATACTGAATTTTGGGCTGCTTATTATTTCTTTGTCCTTGTAATGAAAATGCATTTGCACATTGAGCTCTGGAAAATCCCTAGTTCAGGTTAAGTCCTGATTATACCTCCCATCAAAATATAAGAAGACCTCAAAAGAGGGGCTTAAAAATCACTGTTGCTATTCAACAAGGATTTATTTATTTCAGGTGATCTTTAGTGTACCACAGCATTTTTTCCCTGGATTTTCATGAAGACTATTGCTATTTAAAATTGCTTTCTCCCTAGGATATAATAGATTTCAATCAATATTTTAGTGCATTTGCAGAGCAGATGCATGTTTGCTTTCTCTTGCTGATAACAGCATTATTTATGGACTTTTATTTGCTGAGTTTCTTGAAGCTCCTGGAATTAATGCTAATGAGGTAAAACCTGTGTTTAACTATGACATGATCAAAAATTGTTCTAATGCTGCTCATTTTTTGAATGTTAAAACAGTCATCTTTGTAATTAGAAAAATCAAAAAATATTTCAGACACCAAGCACTTTTTTGATTACAGCTAGAAAAATTACTGCAGTAGGTTATAACTAGATCTTAATAATATGTTAATTCAATATTTATCCCAGCCACACCAGTCTCTAGATTTCCAAACAACCTGCAGCTTTAAATTTTAATCTTTTCTAAAATGTCAACATGCAAATACAACTTCTGTGTGACTTCTTAAGGCTCAAGACAAATGTAATATGAAACAAAGATGTTTTTTATTGCTTTGTTTTGTGTTTGTTTCTTAACATTTAGATCTTAAATTTATAAAATAGAAATTCAAAACTTCATCTATTTAAACCCTTCCTTGCCTCACAATTGGTAAGAACTGAAAAGAGGCAAGATATCGATATAATTAGGACAGACAAATATTTTTTAATTTTTCCCATTTGTTTTCTGTTATAAAACAAGAGCAAATGTAGGAGGAAAATATTAGGAGGAAAGATAGCAAAAGGCCAGGGACAAACACAGTGGCTTACCACTATTTGAAGGAAAGGTTCAGACATTATGATAGGATTGAATAACCCAATCAAAAGAATCTCATCATCACTATAACATGGGCTACTGTATTCTAGTAATGAATAGCTGTGTGTACTGTAGTTTTTAGATAATTTCTTTGATTAAAGCTCCATGTCCACAAAACTCAATAGTAATAAAACTATTATAAAGAGCCTACATTTGACAGTAATTTATATTAAGATGTTTGTTGTTATTATTATTATTTTTCTTGGTTCCTCATGTCTCCCTTTCTCCTGTCCATCAAGGGGGCTGTGTTTTTTATTCACCGCAGCAGTTACAGAAAAGCAGCACTAGGAATGTTTATAGAGAGAAAACAGAAATAAAGTAGATTGTGGAATGCTTCTAATTTCCATTCAAATCGCAAACACTGGGTGCTTTGCACTTCAGAAGAAACTCTTAAATAGTAGTATATTAATACACATTATTTTTGGATCAGTCAATATATCAATAATGATATTACTCTGTTAGATGAAAATCATGTATTTGAAAGGACTGTGTAGCTACTGTTTTAATGAATGGGAAATATCACTGGCTGTTTCCTTCTCCTTTTGCAGGCCTACCACATTTTCAGGAACAGAATGATTTGAAAGGATTACTAGAAAATCTTCATCAAAATATTCGGACTAAAAAAAGAAAGAATGTAGAAATCATGTGGTTGGCTGCAACGGTAAGAAGCCTCGTCAAACAGCAATTCTATTGAAGTCATTCTGTCTTGTTAAATTAAACTTTGGGTCCCCAAAGAGCTGAGGAAAGTCACTAATGAGTTTATTTTTTTCTAAATCACTCTAATTTTATTAATTACAAAATATGTATATTTTTAGATTCCTTCCAAGTACTTTATCAAACTATATTAGTATGTGAAATCAGTTGCACATGCATGCTTTACCCAAGCCAGTTTTTCCAGTGCCCTGTTTGAAATTTGGTTGATGCTAAATCCCTCCAGACACATTGATATTACATGGAGGAAAGCCTCCAGGAGGGTGAAAACGGCCTCCCCACCCTCCGGAGGCTCTCTGAAAGCCAGAAACTGGGCCCATTTCTGATCTTCCCGAAATTCCAGGAGGCCCGTTTTTCACCCTCCCCAGGCATTCACGCATGCCTTGCACTTACCTGCATCCAAAACAGGCTGTGTGGGGACTCTTGGAAGGGGAAGGGCGGCCAGGGCTAGCCAGGAATGGGATTTGGGGGTTCTACGAACTCCACAGAATCTTAGCTAGGGGTTCTCCCAAACCCCTGCAAACCCCCCAGAAGCCCACCCCTGAAGCAAACCCTTTGAAGATTGTGATAAATCAGGTAGGGAGGATAGGCTTCCTCAAACTCAGCAAATGGCTCACTGTGCAATCTGTCCATCCAAGAAGATCAGTCAATCCTTTTTCACCCTCATTCTTGTCAGACAGGATTTCAATTAAGGTTGTCTCTTTTCCCTGCTCCTGGAATTCAATCTTGGAATGCAAGGAATACAACTATAACAACTATCCCCTTTGTCTTGATCTTCTCCTCACGACTTCATGGAGTTTCAAAGGAATAACAACAATGTCTGACATCTAAAAGGTTTCCAACTCAAAATGTGAACCTTCAAATATACGTATATAAAGATGTTTGTAAATTATTCTGATCTTTATTTTATACTAGAAATAGTTTGATGCAAAGTACATTTCTTTGTTAAAAGCCAAAGTTTAAGCACTCAAATTCACATTGGTGGAAATCAAATTATAATTGTTATAAATGATTTTACTCTAATTATATGGAAGTACCGAGCTTTATTTAAGGCAGGGGTCGCCAAACTTTTGGACCTCAGGGACCACCAAACTCATAATTTTAGATCCCAGGGACCACTAACTGGTTCTGTGGGCCTGGCCTAATTTGTGGGTGTGGCTTGGTGGTCATGTGACTGGCTGGGCATGGCTTGTATGTAAATATTATAAATATTTATATAAATATTGATTTTTTTATAAAAAAAGAGCAACTTTTACCCAAAATCAGGCAAAGCAGGCAGATTGAGTTGCTCACAGAATCACAGATTCATTCAGAGATCTATCTGCCATTGGCTACTCAGTCTGTCACGTAAAATTTGCTTGCAAGCAAACTCATAAAATTAACTCACAACACACCATGCATGTAAATATTGAATTTTTTATTTTAAAAAAGAGCAAAATCAGACAAAGCAGGCAGGCAGATTGAGTTGCTCACAGAATCACAGATTCATTCAGAAATCTATCTATCTGCCATTGGCTAGCTCAGTTGGCACATAAAATTTGCTAGCAAGCAAACTCACAAAATTAACTCACAACATACCATGCATATAAATATTGAATTTTTTATATAGAAAAAGCAACTTTTATACAAAATCAGGCAAAGCAGGCAGATTGAGTTGCTCACAGAATCATTCAGTTATCTATCTATCTGCCATCAGCTAGCTCAGTCTCTCAAATTTGCTTGCCGTGAGCCTGCACTGAATTTACTTGCAAGCAAACCTTCAGTCCTAAGGGAGGTTTGGCTGTGCTTAGCTAGAAAGCAAGAAATCCAACCATTTCCTGCTTCCTAGCTAATCTAAATCTCCCGGCACAGCAGAACAGATAATGGTTGGAAAAAGGAAAAATAGCAACTTAGCAGACAAGTTTGCTGGGTAAGGAGTGAGTGGGTGGGGAGGGTTCCCACGGGCCATGTGGGCTGAGCAGCCTTGTGTTTCTGCACAGCCTGGATTAATTGCTTTGTGGGGGTGCTCTGGGGGTGAGATTTCTTTGTGGCCCACCAAAATTTTCTCACGGCCCACCAGTGGGGCGGCCCACAGGTTGGCGACCGCTGATTTAAGGCATACATGCTTGATTTATTTATTCCATTAATCTGACATCAGCTGCTTGATTTATTATTTATTTCCATTAACCTGACATCAACTGCACATACACTGATTCATTTATGCAATGTATATTCTTATTAGATAATTAAGAATGTAGATTGTGTTATTTGATTGGGACTCCACAAATTACCTATCAGTAAGTTAATTATATTTCTTTTTCCAGTAAATTGTTTTTATTTTTTCCTTGGTAAGATAGATACTAAATAGCCCATGGACCAGTGGTGGGATTCAAATTTTTTTACTACCGGTTCTGTGGGCGTGGCTCGGTGGGCGTGGCAGGAAAAAGATACTGTAAAATCTCCAGTCAGAGGTGGTATTTACCTGTTCTCTGAACTACTCAAAATTTCCGCTACCAGTTCTCCAGAACTGGTCAGAATCTGCTGAATATCACCTCTGCCATGGACCATTGTAATATAGTTGGTGAATTTCCTAATAGCAGGTAGTTACTGCTTTATTTATTTTGTTAATAACAATAAAACATCTACAGTAGATAATTTTCTACATATTTTCAGAATGCATCTGTCAAATGGAAAATTAAAAGACTGGAGAAAATGGAATACTAATATCTTGGCGCCACTTCCGTTCTTTCTTTTCATGAACTGCTTCAATGTACTTATGTTGGAACAGTGACAGTTGTGAGAAGTGGGAGTCACAATGGTAGCCATCAGTGCTGTAATGATGCTCTTGCTAATAGGTTTTCAGCTTAATTGATCAATGGTACACCACTTCCATTTAACACTGCCTCGTGTCAAAGGAAGTAGTTGAATCCAGATAACAATTTGCACATTGTGTTGTAACAGCTACACACACACACACACACACACACACATATTTAAAAGCACAACTATTAAGACGTGGGAAAATACCTGAAGAAACCTAAATACCATACTTATAAATACCCGCGAAAACATAAGAAAACACACACACACAGACGCACACACACAAACACACACACATATATCATCATGGACTTGAACTGGGAAAGAAAACAGTGTTCTGGCAAGCTTTAATATTACAACTTCCTGACCTAAATAATTGAAAGAAATGTTCAGCTTGTTCCAGATAACACAGAGATTACCCAGCAGGCCATGTCTTTGGAGAAAGACCTGACGACTTACTCAGCAAAAAACTTACCTAGAAAATTCTAAGGAAAGAGTCTCAAACATGTCAGACAGGGAGCTCAACAATTGGACAACAGGAATCCCAGTTGCTGAGGCAACCGGTGATGTAAGCAAATATCTGTGTTGTACAGAAATACATCAGATAGCCACATGGAATGTCAGAGGAATGAGTCAGGGTAAATTAGATATTGTCAAACAACAGATGATCAGTGTATTAGTGAGCTACACTGGTCAGACAATGGCTTTTTCCAGTCTGAGGATTTCACAGTCTATTATTCAGGACATGATACCAGGAAAGCAAATGGAGAAACGTTTATTGTAAGCAAGAAAGTTGTTAGACAATGGAAAAGCTACTCAACAGCAGAGCTATATTGTGCATAGATAACTTAACACAACTTAAAAGGGTGAGCTCATCCCTTTCTCTATGCATGTTGAAAGTTAAAATTTTAAAAGTATCTTAAACAGAATTTAGCTGCCAGTTCACTCATGAATGCATACTGATTTATTTTTGCCTGAGATTTTCAGTTAAACGTAACTTCATTTCAAATATTTTTCTTTGAAAATATTGGAATGAAAGTTTTATCTAGTGTATATCATTTGGGATAATTCATGAATAAATTATGCTACTAAACATATTACAGATCTTCAAATACCTGGAAGTTGGAAAACCAAAAGTGTATATAAGAATATCCCAGGATCTTCTGTAGATCCTGAAATCCCTGCCCACTCTAAGCTTTCTCAAAATTTTCATCAAATTGTTTTAATGTGAAATAAAGATTAAATTATTAAATAAATGGGGAATAATTACGTTAACTGTTTAATTTTTACTAATTAAAGTGAAATTTTCAGGCTTTTTTCTGACCTTTGCTTCTTTTTTCTTTGAGCATATCCTTCAATATATCATTTGAGAATAAAGTATAAACTCGGATATCATGTAAAGTTTTGTACTCTATTCTCTCTAGTTGAAACTTGTTCATTTCAACTTAAATGAACTGAACTGCAATGGCTAAAACAAATCAAGGTCATTCAGAGAAAACTGGCTTATTTAAAAGCAAAAAGAAAGAAAAAAAGAAAGAAGTGTATGTCGGAGGTACGTGCATATGGGCTGAGGCAGTGCTTCTCAAGTGGTGCTTCCATACTGCCACCATCTTTACTCAAAAGTTAGAGGACAATCCACAATTATTTTAACATTTGCTAAATATTAAACTCTTAAGAAAAAAATGGTAAGCACTGCTGTCTCCTGAGCTATTCCAGTGACAAAAATTGAGTTCTCAAACCCACTCATCAAGCTAATGGGAAACTATATGTACATCCTTGCATTGTGTTGAATCGCTGCAAAATAATTAGTGTTCCAATAGTTTTAAACTTTTTTCTTTCAAGATCCCTTCCCATTTTTAAAAGTTATGAAGGACCCCAATACAGATTTTGATTGATTATATCCATAGATATTTATTGCATTAAAAATTAAAATTGAGATTTGTTTCTGCTAATGCATCTCATGATTCCTTGATGGAATTTTATTATTGTATTATTTTTCAACATAGGCTGTCAAAAATTTTTGATTTCAATCACTAAAATCATCAGACTATCCTTTAAGAAACACTAAAAAGAAAGAGTTTTTGTTTTCTTCAAGAGTCCCTTTCTGTTGAAAGATCTAATGATACAGCTAGTGGAGAGTGGAGAAAGCAA